TCCAATAAAATTAATAATTAATTAAACACTTTAATTAATTAATTAATTCTATTAATTCCAATAGTTACTCCACTATAAACTTGGAATTGAACTCTCGAAATTATATACATTAATTACTTCTAAACTGTGAAGTGTCCATTTGATATAGTCATTACATATAGATCAATCCTCCATAAATAATTCATAATTAGAGTGAGGTAGAATCCGTTAACCTCTCTAATTATATCTTCATCCTTGAGTACCATTGATTCTCTAATGGATAGTGATTCATAAAACACATTCATGAACCAGAGCGCTCTTACTAATCCAAGTACCGAATCAACACTCAAGAGAATTATTTATCTACTTCTTTCTCAAGAAGGAATGGATTCCATCTCGTATAATAACATTCTCATCTACCTATTTCATCATGTCTCCAAAATACAAGGAATAGGATTCAAGGTCTCAGAATTCGTACCGAGTAAATCAAAAGACATAAATTTATAAATAGGAGTTTGTTAAGAACTCAGGATTAAGATTATTCTATATATGACCACTGGTAGACTCAATTAGAATTTCTATCCTTAACGGAAATTATTAGAAATTCATATTGTGTTTGTGTCCCTGTTCCACATAATCTTATTATGCGTAATACACTCATTCAATATCTCACCATATTAACAGTGCGGATAGCACCGTTCTATTCTAAATGGGAATGACATATATTAATAATGTTTTAATTAAAGATTCTGAACTTTAATTAAATTCATCATGAACAATGTTTTTTTTATTATTATTATCCTTAAACACTATCCTCTCGTATATAACACTTATATACTATGTTTAAGGTTACATAAATAATCACGAAATTTTCATTTGATATTTATAAATATTCATAAATATATGCACATAAAATGATGAATGAACTTTTTTATTAATTAAATAATAAATATCATATTACATCTCATGCTTCTAGGACACTATTCCCAACACTAACAACTTGCCGATAGGGTGTAGGATCAGCCAAAGGTTCTCCATCATATAGAGATAGTGTTGCATCAGAAGCCATTGAGGAGGAGGCAAGTCTTCCAGTCAAGCATGTCAACTCGAGTAAGAAGATCACTGATGTATTTCTGTTGACAGAGGTGGAGTGAGTCTTTAGAACGAGATACTTGAATGCCCAAAAAATAATGGAGTGGACCGAGGTCCTTAAGTGCAAAGTGGTTAATAAGATGCTGAATCAACTGTTGAATGAGAGAGATGGAGCTGCCGCTAATAATTATATCATCAACATAGACATACAATTACCATGTCTATTGGAGTGCTCAGGAGAAACATGGAACTGTCTGCCTTAGAGTTAATAAAGCCCAAATGCAAGAGACAATGACTGAGTTTGGTGTACCAAGCACGAGGACTCTGTTTGAGGCCGTATAAGGATTTCTTAAGTTTACATACATAATCAGGATGAACAGGATCAACAAATCCTTGGGGCTGAGACATGAAAACTCCTTCGGTTAAGTCACCATTGAGAAATGCGTTATGCACATCAAGCTATCGAATAGGCCGATTATGAGCAAGAGCTAGACATAACACCACTCTGATGGTTGTCGGTTTCACCACAAGGCTAAATGTATCGAAGTAGTCAAGGCCAAGGGTTTGGAGAAAACCTTTGGCCACTAAGCGAGCCTTGTACCGTTCAACAGTTCCATCGGGTTTGAGCTTCAAACGATATACCCATTTGTTGCCAATGACCTTTTGAGAAGGACAAGGCGGCACTAGGGTCCAAGTGTGGTTATGAACTAAGGCATTAAACTCTTCTTGCATTGTATTTTGCCATTACGGATCTGCGGTAGTATGCTTATAAGTTGCTGGCTCTGAGAAGGCCTGAGCTTGAGAGGGCCTGAGCAGAAGCGACATCAATATGAACATTAAACATTTGCTTAGGCTTATGTATCCCAATTTTAGACCTGGTCACCATAG